TATATGTATATAATATTATATTATATTATATTAAACAAGTGATGTGCAAAAAACAGTGAACTAGGATAAGATACATGTTGGAACCATGTTTAGAATCTGGACTCTAAGAAATGTTCTGTACCAGAGAGACATATTTCCATACAAAGGAATTTGTTGTAAATTTGCTGAAATTTTGGGGGATGGGGATGGAGAGATTACTCCATTGTTTCTCCTCAGCATAGGGTAGATTTACTTCTTTTAGGGCAGATGAGATGAAACTCTGTCTCCCCTAGACAGTTTTCTTGAACTTTGGGAGGCAGATTGATTAGGATTTCCAGCTGTGAATGATTAACTGCTTTCTGAAAATTCCCATGGGCATGTTCTCTTTCATAAGAGTTACACAAGTAGGAAAAGATTTAGCTCAAGATCCAGTGTTTGAGTGGCTGCTGTCTTTCACAGCAACTCTGCATGAATGTATAGGTGAAGAATGTGAAAAGTATTTTTTCTAGTTATACTTCAGAATAAAAATCAAGCACTGAGAGTGATGAGATTTACGTGAGAGCAACAAAAACACTATAAAACTCAAACTAAAGGAGAATGTTTCAAAGGGAGAATGGGGATGTAAACTGGAGCACAAAGTTTTTGAAAAATTTTAGCACAGATCTGCTAGAGATAAAGCAAAAGAACAAAGAAGCATGAAAGATCAAGTTAACGGAACATGAAGAAAATGAGAGGAAAGAGAACAGAGAGGGAATGAAGAGATTTCTATGAGCTCAAAATAAGTAAAATTCTTCATTGAAAAGTGAATATTTCTTATATTTTAACACTTAATTGAAAAGTGCTTTTATATTCTGTTCTTTAATTTGTTTTCATTGAATTTTGGTGTATTTTATACACAACCTCGCAATCAATCATCTTTACACCCTCTGTCTGACTGGCACCCAACCAATTGCCACCACTGGAATTCACATGTTCTATCATCCCTGTTAAGGTCTATTGTGTCAAGTTAGTGCTCCCAGACGTTCCTCAGTGCAAGTTCATCTGCTAAGGTCTAGTCAGCTTATGTTGAGTCCCTCACTTTAGGAAGATCAACTCTTCCTCACCTGGCAGTAATTACCTGTCTATATTTCTTCAGCTAAAACTGGAATCTACTCTCCATTTCCACAGTTCTATGCTGAGTTTTTGCCTGCTTGAGTTCCCATTGAATTTGTGTATGCTGACCCCACTGGTATAGATTCATACAAGCAGAGAGCCCAGAGCTTGTAGGACTCTGTTTTCATATGGTCACCCACTTCCTCACTGGCTCTTACAGTCTTTTTGCCTCCACTTCCACAATCCTCCCTAGCCCTGGTGGGTGAGGTTTAATACAGGAGTCCTATACAAGGACCAGCATTCTTCACATTCTTAAAATAAAAGAAAAAAGCTGTATTTGCTTGATGTTTATAGTTAAGTCTGTTATTATTAACAGAATAAAGTCATAGATAGTTATATATAAACAGAAATTTGAAACACACAGTGAACAAATAGTGTCAAAGTGTAGTTAGCTTCCACAGAATCTTCTAAATCAGAAGAGAACCTGGCTAGTTATCTTAGAATAGTGTATTTATATGTGATTTTTAAATTTTTAAAACTTTCTCAAATTGAGAGCTTATAGCTTTTATGCAAGAGTAATGAACTATAAAATCTGAGGTTTAATTAAGATAGTGGCAAGGACAGTGTGTAAAAGGGAATGCCAATCAAGACTGGTGACTTGAGTTTTAATTAGAACTAATGGGAAAAGGAGAGGACAGGAATGAACTCCTGAGGGTGCACTCTCACACACGGTAATAGCAAATACATAACTAAAGAAGACATATTATATATATTATATATACACACA